CAATATTCTGCCTGTAACACAGGTCCTATATATAGATATAACCCTATGTCAAACAGTTTACCAGATTTTACCCATTCTTATCATTAGACAACATTTTGCGAGCAAATTAGTCTGGACACAACTAGCCCAGGTGCCTAGAAATATTTCACAATGACTAGAGCATCCTTTATCTTCAAATTTTATTTATACCTTATAATTATTAAGTGAAGATACCTGAATCATATGTCCACCAATGAAGATTAAGTACATTTTATTGTAAATAAATATAATCTATGTAGAGCTATTATAATCAGCTCTACTGCAAAATTCTTACTGAAAAGAGGATGAAAAAGTCTTTGCCAATATTCTTAAGTTTCCTTTCTAAACCATCTTTTTCTAACTTCCATTAAAAAATTCTATATGCTGCAGGTATCAAATTTTAAGTATGACACTGTTAAGACTTCATGCAAATTGAGTTGTTTTCTCCAAAAATCTCAGAGTGCTATTATTTGCTTCCTTAGGTAGACCTTCTCAGCATGTCAGCCACCCCCCATGCTTTTTTTTTTTTTTTTTTTTTTTAAGATGAGGGCTATTTCTCAAGATAGATATGTTGAAGGAGAATATCTTAAAGATGGGATTTTTTGGTAGGTGATAACTACTGAGTCACATATTTTCTTGCACACCTGTGTCAGAAATATTTTAGTTGAAAAAATATAACCTTCAACTATTTTCTTTCTTTCTCTTTGCCTTCATAACTTGGTATAGTACTGAGATTTTTCATACTGCTTCTTCATATTGATTCATCACTTATAAGACTGCAGCAAAAATGAAAAAAAATGTGGATTTTCAAAGTCAGAAAGATTAGTGCTTAAAATTTAACACTACCAATTACTAGCTTGCACAATTAGTTAAATTGAGAGTCAATTCAATATTATTATCTCTAAATTTGAGATAATACATATTTGTAAGATTTGACAATTGGGGAATATTCAGAACACCCACAGATACCAAAATTCACAAATGCTCAAGTCTCTTATACAAAAATTATGTATTATTTGCATGTAACTTACATACATCCTCCCATGTACTTTAATTATCTTAGATTATTTATAATACCTACTACAATATAAAGACTATTAATGTTTAATAGCATTTAAAAAACAAATAGTTGTTATGTGTTTATTTGTCTTATTTTTTATTTTTTTCTGAGTATATATTATCTGTGCTCATTGAATTTGTGGATGTAGAACCTGCAAATATGGAAAGTCAACTGAATCTGATAATAGATGTAAATTATGAAGGAGAAGTCAGTGCGGGCCTGGAGTTGATACTCGAGATTATTTAAACTCCAAAATATCGCATTCCATAATGTGTATCTTTTTTTAAAACCAGTTCCACTACAAATTATATTGGCAATACCTTTGCTAATTCTTAAATGCTTTGATCATTTCTCTAATACTTTTTGACTTGGATCAAACTCCTACGGGGTCTGGTCTATGCCTAACATTTCTAAATTTTATTCACAGTCTATTTAAAATTATATTAGACAGATATTAGAATTACCAGCTATAAACTTTACAAATAAGCAAACTAAGATTCAGTGAAATGAAGTAACATTTTCCAGGATAGGAAAGCTACTTGCTGGCAAAGCAAGAGCTGAAACACAATTCTAACTCACTGAGAAGTTCCCCTTTGAACACACTATTAAAAAAAAAAAAAAAATTCAGGCCTGGGCGTGGTGGCTCATGCTTGTAATCCCAGCACTTTGGAAGATTGAGGCGAGTGGATCACGAGGTCAGGAGTTCGAGACCAGCCAGGCCAATATGGTGAAACCCCATCTCCACTAAAAATACAAAAATTAGCTGGGCATGTTGGTGGCGTGCATGCCTGTAAGTCCCAGCTACTCGGGAGGCTGAGGCAGGAGAATCACTTGAACTGGGAAGGCGGGGGTTGCAGTGAGCCGAGATCGCACCATTGAACTCCAGCCTGGGCAACAAGAGAGAAACTCCATCTCAAAAAAATAAAATAAATAAAATAAAATAAATAATGTTATTAGTAATCACATATGGTTATTTTTTTATTTGTCAAGCAATTTTGAAGATACAAAACCCACAATAGAATAATGAGGCTCATATGAATAGGACATATTGTAGTAGATAATTTGTTTTAAAAAAATTTTTAATCACAATGTAAGATATGTTCCCTGAGTTTTTATCCATCATTAGCACAAAGACATTATTATCATTCCAGCAGTCCTGGGACAAACTGTTAGAGTGATTTTACCTAAAACCAGGACACATAGGAAATGGAGCTTAGTAAACATTTGAGTTACATACCATAATTGAAATAATATATTCTAGATTAAAAGAGATTAATGAAGACAAAAAAAAACTAACAAGTTTTGACAGATCATGAAATAAAGATTAAGCCTAAACAATGTCTGAAGAAAGGATGTGTAAGCAATGATAATAAATAATATTGACAGTAACAACAATCATGGTAACAACCAATACTATATGTAATGCTTACTATGTGTCAATCACTGATATAAAAATATGACTATTTCTATCAGCGCTTACCACTACACTATGAAATAGACAATATTATTATTTTCATTTTATAAACATAGACCAAGACAGTGAAAGACATAGAGAGTACGTACATCGGCCAAAGTTTTGACTAGTTTTAAATAAACGAAATCAACATCATGAGAATTATTACCCTTAATCAGTATGTTCTATGCAATATGAAAAGAATAAAGCCCTATAGCAAGCATGTGCAGTGTTCAGTGTGGAGAGAAAATGAATCTTGGAAACACAAATACCCTCAGCAGAGTTACATGCAGAGTGGTCCAATAGGCCCTAAATACTTTGAATGAATTTTCCATTTCCTTTTGCTCATAAACGCCCGAACACTGAAAAATAGTGAGTAGGTAACAGTTCATATTTAATTGAGAAAATACTACCCTGGCTGTCAATGGCTACCTAGCCAACATAGAGGTAATATATTGATAAACATTTCTTGGGGGTTTTTTTGTTGCTTTTTTTTTTGTTTTTTTTGAGATGGAGTCTCGCTCTGTCACCCAGGCTGGAGTGCCGTGGCGCAATCTTGGCTCACTGCAAGCTCTGGTTCCCAGTTTCACACCATTCTCCTGCCAAGAAGCTGGGACTACAGGCGCCCACCACCACACCCAGCTAATGTTTTATATTTTTTAGTAGAGGCGGGGTTTCACCATGTTAGCCAGGATGGTCTGGATCTCCTGACCTTGTAATCCACCCTCCTCAGCCTCCCAAGGTGCTGGGATTACAGGCATGAACCGCCACACCCGGTGATAAACATTTCTTGAACACTAATCCAAAGATATATACACATATATATGTGTATGTGTATATATATAGTGTGTGTATATATATGTATAATTTTATGGTTCTTAATGTCTTTGTACATTGTGTGTGTTGTCTTTTTTTTTTTTTTTTGAGATGGAGCCTTACTCTGTCGCCAGGTTGGAGTGCAATGGTGCGATCTCAGCTCACTGCAACCTCTGCCTCCAGGGTTCAAGTGATTCTCTCACCTCAGCCTCCCAAGTAGCTGGGGTTACAGGTGCCCACCACCTGCCTGGCTAATTTTTGTATTTTTAGTAGAGATGGGGGTTTCACCATGTTGGCCAGACTGGTCTCGAATTCCTGACCTTCTGACCCACCTGCCTCGGCCTCCCAAAGTGCTGGGATTATAGGCGTGAGTCACCGCGGCTGGTCCTTTTTAAAATATATTGGTATTTATGTACAATGTTGTGGTATGAAAACTTTCTTAGAAGTAAAATTCTGGAAATGGCTTATAAGAGGATTTTATTTTTCAATTTTGAACTGTCCTGATGGAATCCTACAAAATTATATTGGTCAAAGGACACTTGAATAAAGTATCCTCAAAAATTATCTATGTTTATTGGGTGAAGATTGCCCCCCCAAAAAAAATTAGGGACACATACCTACAGAATATGTGGGATATAAAACTTATGTCATTAATAAAACCCTCCTGGTCTACATTTTTGAATACTACTCCTACATGACAAAGTAGATTATTCAGAATGTTATAAGTCTGTGGAATATTTGAGTCACAGTGTACACTAGCCACAGCTTAAGCGGCCAAAAAGAAAAAAAAAATCAGAAAGAAGCCTGTTAAGTCTAGGACATTCAATTTGTACAAGAATTCCTTCTTGGGGAACCACAGGTAAAAGTAGAAAATGGGCCGGGCGCAGTGGCTCAAGCCTGTAATCCCAGCACTTTGGGAGGCCGAGGCGGGTGGATCACGAGGTCAGAAGATCGAGACCATCCTGGCTAACATGGTGAAACCCCGTCTCTACTAAAAATACAAAAAACTAGCCGGGCGAGGTGGCGGGTGCCTGTAGTCCCAGCTACTTGGAGGCTGAGGCGGGAGAATGGCGTAAACCCGGGAGGTGGAGCTTGCAGTGAGCAGAGATCCATCCACTGCACTCCAGCGTGGGCGACACAGCGAGACTCCGTCTCAAAAAAAAAAAAAGAAAAAAAAAAAAGTAGAAAATGAAATAAAATACGAATTACAAAAGGGGAATGCCAAAAGCAGTTTATGACTCGCTGTAGTAAACAGTCCTTTAGCCATGCTCAAATTGTTCCCTTTCTCTTTAGCGTTTTTTAAACCAGCAAAAAAGATTGGTAAAGGAACTTTGGAAGTGAGAGTTGTTTGCACTAATGAGTCTCCTGATGCTGTCCCAGTGATGGGCATGGCAGAATTCCATCAATAAAACATTAAGATAAAGGACCCACGACCCTTCAGGTAGCAGCCAAATCTCATTCCAGGGACTTGCATTTTGTGTCAATTAAAGAATAGACTTCAAGAGGTGAAATTCACTTTACTCAGGCTTGTGGGACACCTCTGGCAAACATTAGCACAACAATCGCCATCTTTTTTGCAATTCTCAGGTCTGTGTGCAATGACCATCTCTCTCATTTCTCACTGGTGTACTGTTGTTCTAATTTACTCACCAGGACTTGCATTTACATCCTAACTGAGCTTGTTGGACACTGAAATGGAGTAAGACACAAGCCATTTTCAAACCTGTAAGTATTTCCTCTCTTTATAAGTAAGCCTCAATTCATTTTTTTTCTTTGCTTCCATCAGGAGAGTTTCAAGACAGCTCTGTGAGGTAAGATAATTTTTTTTTTTTTAATGAAACAATGCTTCTATAAGTAAATTTAAATTCTGGGTGCCTTCCAGGGCAATCTCTTTCTCCAATGTTTGGTTCTTGAATTTCAGGAAAACCAACAGTGTAAAAAGTAGTAGGGCCACCCACTCATTCCGATTTTTTTTTTAAATTTGTTACAGCAGCAAATTATTCTATAATGTAAATATTAGAATGGAATTTGCAGTGAACATTGGTATCTTTCTTCATTTCTCATTACACTTAAATTAACTAAAGGGTTTTTGTTTAAAGCATCCCTTCTCTTGAGGAAAATGTAGGTAGAATTATAAAATCTTGTGATTTTACATATGGGACTTTCTTTCACTTAATTTGCATTAAGCTGCCACATTTATGTCTTTAAAGAATAAACAAATTTACATTTTTGCATACAACTTGCCTCATCAGAAAAAGCTTTAATATTCAGATATGTGTAATTTGTCTTTGCTGTCACATTAGTTTAGGATGTGATTTACCTGCCCTTTCTAAGATATTTAAGTTATACCATGATTAAATAAACATGAAGGTGATAGACCAGTGGAACATTTTAATCTCAAGAAGAAAACAGATGCACAAATGTTAGACAGCACCCCGCTCCCACTCACCCTGCAACATACCAAATTCAAGTATTGCCCATGATAATATTCAACCTCCACCCTGTTCCCCAGAGGCATGGCACTGCCAGGAGCAACCTCTAACTAGCAATAGGTCCTATTACCTCTGACACTTCCAAAGGCCCGGTCACCATAAGCAAGCTTGTGTTTTCTCTCTTGCCTGATTGCTCCAGTTACAAAACAATGTGAGACTTGGGAACTTTAGAGCAAGAAACAGTGCCTTTGTTATCACCTCTATTTTACATGTGATGGAATGCATTTCATCTAAGCACCAAAGATGCCGAGTAATTTATCTGAGTTGAATAGTCATTTGGGGCAGAACCGAGTTTAGAAAATGTATTTCCTAATTTTCAGAATAGAACATCTTCTAATATATTGTTCCGTGTTTTTGAAATTTAGAAAAATGATTAGATTAAATGATTTTTTTGTGAGTGGATGAGAGACCTGAGCAGGATGTAAATAGACAATAAGAATAGAAGGCAATCTGTTAAAGACCCAAAATAGTTCTTCACAAATCAGAAGACAACACCCCTTCAGCCTCTATAATAACAGAATGTGAGGAATCTTTCCATTCAACTTCCTTTTCAGATACTAGGAAACAAAAATTTAGATTCAGGAGAATGACTTCCCCACGTCATGCCTTCAAAAAATGTTGTTTTATTGATTACCCACTCTGGGCCTTGCACATAACATATCCCCCAGTACATTAGGAACCAGAGATATCAATGCCTCATCTGTGTTTTGCTGGGAATATAGCTCTAAACAAAGTAGAAATAATTCTTGTGCTCACAGTATCTTTTGTCTAATTGAAGGAGAGAAAGAGTAAAGATGCATTTATGAGTAAATATCTACTTATGAATTATAGCTATGGTAGGTTTTAAAAAAATAATTACAAGTTGAAATGAGATATGAAGGGGGTTGCCAGAGGAGGCCTAAAGATTATGAAAAGCTAATTTTGAACAATGACAGTTGAACTAAAATTTAAATAGATCTAAAAGCCTAAAATTTAAATAGAAATTGGGTAGGTCAAAACAAAAGAAAAACAAAAACTTGAGTGAATGATAGGAACGTAGTCTAAGCAAAGAGAGAAAGCAATGTCAAACCTGCAAATTGTAAGGAAGACAACATAATTGAAGAAGTGTAAGAAGACAAAGAAAGCTTGAGAGTTTTGAGATAGGTGGATACTATCAGAATATATTGGTAATGAGTGCAAAGGCCAGTCTGTGTAAGACCTTATTTCAAAACTAGGTCCTTTAAGTCCCATTCCGTAGCTATGGTTTGTTAATTCGTAAAACTATTTTTCTTTTTTATGCAACATGCCATAGAAAAAATTTGGAACTCAAAGGTACTTTACATTTTCATGTATTCCACACATCAATCTGGTGCTTTTCTTGCAAACTTTCATTTTGATTGTGTAATCAAAACTATTGGCAGATATGGCCAGCTAAGTAGAGTCAAGGAAATTACACTACATTACATCAAAACATGACGCTCTCAGCCAGCATACAGTCCCTTATCATCAAACAGTTTGCAGTGAGCATATATTTTGCAAGTTTCACCATCTCAATCTGTATTTGCCCTCAAACCTTCCTCAGGCTCTGTCTACACTGTCAAATTCAGAGTTGAGCAATCACCCTGGGAAAGGTATCAATGGAGACAGTTTAGGTCAAATGAGTCCCCTTTTCCCAGATTCTACTCTATAATAGCCTCATGTCTCCTCTTCAATTTGCCTGCATAAACAGAGCCTTAGGGCAACTGTGAGACTAGCAGGTACTCTAAACGTGCCTCAAATAATATTACAGATTTTGAGGTCTTGTCTACAAAGCATATTTGACCCATAATATTTCAACACTGAAAGAGAGGAAAGAAAGATTCTATCCTAATTTTGTTTTGTTATATTTGAAGAAACTGAGGCTTATTCAATCATTAGTGCTATTACATGGTAGTACAGAGACACTCCTTGGAGGGAGCAGAACTGAATACAAATAGTCTGGCCCTTGATTCAGAGGGTTTTCCCTGCGCTTCAGTACATTGTGACTGGGATCCATTCATTCCAACAACCATTTAGCAAGTACTTAATATTTTCCAATACCTGTAGGGCTTCTGCAAGACGAATAATCAAAGCGAATCATAGTTTATTTCAAGCAGGAATTGTGCTCAGTGATTTACGTGTAATTCTTCTAATTGTCACACTATGGTTAGGCAAGAGAAAGGATTATTAACCCCATTCTGTATAAGAAGAGAATGAAGATTTAATGTTTAAATACCTTTTCTTGAAATGACACACCTGTTTGGGTGGAGGATAAAATTTCATCCCTAGCCTGAAGTCTTAAGCATTATGCTATTCTGTCTCACAAGTAATGATTTGGGTGTTATATGGGGAAAATAATTTTAACTTATATATTTAATTTAATCAATATTTTCTGACTCCTGCTATGCATTTGGGATTATGTTTCTTGCTGAGGGTGCTGTGTGGGAAATAATACACATAATTCTAATGTTTATAAAGTGTATCAGTCCAGTAGGTGAGAACTACATTTAAAAATTATTAAGTACTAAGAATACTTTTAATTGTATTTTAATTGTAATCTGAAGTACTAAGGATTAACGGGAGGCACTGTAAAACAGGATAACAACTCAAACAGTGGTGCCCAGGAAATTGTTGTCGAGATCAGGCTTAAGAGTTGACAACATGAAAGCGAAGTGAAGAAAATTAGAGGTAGAAAGAACAAGGGTGGGTGCAAAGGTGTTGGATTGAAAAACAGCTGGATGCATTCCAGGCATAGAAACGATCAATGTGATCCCAATGTATCAAACAAAGGGACCAGTGCTGCAAAATTGGCTGAAGAAAAAGACAAGGCATAGCCACTGAGAGATTTAGGTCCTTCTAGAAAATGTGATGTGACTAAGGGAAATTTTATTGGGACGGTACCATGACAGGATTTACGTTTTCAGAAGAATATCTTGATTTTTATGCAACAGAGATTATAGAGGTGCAAGAGTGAAACATTCCAAGTGGTGACATTTCATTCACTGACTGCCATATTGGCAACGTGGAGTACAAATAGGGAAGGGCACGCATGTTTGACAAGGCTGCAGAAATCACTGCCATTTAAATATTGTGGAAAGAATGGGGCGTGTTTACTCTTGAAAAAGAGACCAAGGGGAAAGCAGGCCTTTTTAAAGAGAGAATAGAAACAATGAGATGAATTTCCAAGGAGACATATGTCAACTCAGTATGTCAGAGTCATTATTATATGGAGAGATAGTCAACGATATAATAGTCAGTTCTCTGCCCCTGAATATATTCAAGGAGACTTTACATGTTTTTATTTATTGGATATTGTAGAGCTGATGCCATTACTGGAAGGAAGTTTTGGGCAAGGTGTGCTCCTGTAAAATTGAATGCTAAGATCCTTCCTTTGCTTTATAAAGCTGAATTTTGAGCAACCTATTACTAGAGATGAAATAGCATAATTTGTTTCTGTGTATAATTCTGATGAAATTGTTAAATCTTATTTACAATGTGAGGGCCTACCTACCTTCAGAAACTTGCATGAATTTTTTGGCACAAAAGTTATGACTGCTCATGCCTGTAATCCCAGCACTTTGGAAGGCCGAGGCGGGTGGGTCACGAGGTCAGGAGTTCAAGACCAGCCTGGCCAAGATTGTGAAACCCCTGTCTTGACTAAAAACACAAAAATGAGCTGGGCATGGTGGCAGGCGCCTCTAATCCTACCTACTCAGGAGGCTGAGGCAAGAGAATCACTTGAACCCAGGAGGTGGAGGTTGCAGTGAGACCAGATTGTGCCATTGCACTCCAGCCTGGGTGACAGAGTGAGACTCCATCTCAAAAACAAAAAACAAAACAAAACAAAACAAGTCATGACTGACTCAATTCAGCTGGGTATCTGCCTGTAAGTGGTAACCAGCCACATAACAGCATAAACTGTGTGTAAAGAGCTTCCATTTAAAAAGATTTGCCACTCTTTGTTTCTATTCTACCAGTGATTATGCAAATAGCAAGACTGAAAATATTTTTACTATTAGTTGTAAAAATAACATGAAATATTATCTAGAAACTCAAATGCAAAGTAAATGTTTTCTCCCTGTGCTTTGGTTCAGTTTTCATAAGCTCTTTCACTTGGTCTATCACAGACTCACAGACTTCAGTGTGCCCTTCCTTCTCTGTCCCGTTTTCTCTACTATGCCCTACTCCTCCTTCCTCCTTATAACTGCTAGTGTGATCTTTATTATGCATACCTCT